GGGCGGGGGTGAGCGGCGATTGGGGTGAGCCGGGGTGTTGCTGCACGCAGCCCCCTGCACCGCCTGAGACACGTCGCTGGCCAACATGTTGCGAATGGTCTTCCACACATTCGCGCACAAAAACACACACACACACACACATACATACACGCACGAGGATGTACACCTGCCCCGCGACCCCCAACCTCCCCCCAAACACACAGTGGACACACACACACACACACACACACACACACAAACACACACACGCACACGCACACACACACACACACACACACACGGCATTTCCACTGTCCACCCACCTGCCCTGGAAAGCCTTTGACACGATGTCATCCATATCAGCGGCATGCGCCCCGCACGCGGCGCAGGCGTACACACGCGGGCCACCCAGGTATTGCCTGGCACACACGCACGCGCGCGCGGCGCGTGCGGCGCGCGCAGCAGAGGTAATGTCAGAGAGGGGAGGGGTAGCGGGCGCCGCGGGGTCGGTTTCGGGGCTGCCGCGGCGGCGTGTGTGGAGGGGACGGCGGCAGAGATGCGGACGGCGCGGGGTGCGGGCCGCGGTTTGCGGGCCGGGGGGTGGGCGCGCGCACCTGAACGGCCGGCCCATGCTGGCGGCAAAACGGCGGGAGGTGGCTTGGATGGTGCTTGAGGAAGGGAGGGGCCAGAGCAGCGGCGCGGGGCGCAGCGGGCTGCACGCTCGAGGGTCGGCGCTGGTGCACGGGCCTGGGGCGGCGGCCTGCGGCGGGGCGACCGCGAGTGATCGTGGAGACAGGTCAGAGGGCCAATGATGGGGGCCGGCCAGCATCATCTGGGAGCGCGACCGTGCTCGCTGAGGCGCCTTGCTGCCGTGGTCGGGCTCGCCAGCGGCAAGCACTCCCTCCGCTTGGGGCGAATCCGACGTCATCAGGCGCTCCATGTACAAAGGTCTGATGCCCTGAGCTTCGTAATCCACGACGTGTCTCCAGTGCCCAGGTCATCTGACAGAGCCCATCGCACCTGAGGACTGGATCTTTGGCGCGGTCGCTGCACTGGGGTTGCTGGATGCTTGGTGCCAGGGACGCGTATTGAAGGGTCGCGAGGTGAGCGATGCGGCCTGGGCGAGCAAGGAGCTGTGCTTGGATATTGGATTTGGCGTACTTAGGGTCCAAATTGTGCGCTTTATACAATGGTGGCTTCGCAAAAAGCGGCTGTGCTATGTATGAATTTCTGCGCGCCTGAGAGGCCGTGCACCACGGGCCCAGCTCGTTAGTAAGGGCGGCCAGCCGGGTGGCTTGCACGCGGGCGGGGTGCGGTACTCGTCGGTACCGCCCGCGTTCCTCGGCGACCATCGCATCACATCCTGCTCAAGGCACATCTCCTCCTTGCCTCAGGGTGTCCCCGCCCCGCGTGATGCCGACGGGCGCCAAGAAACGGGGAGCGACGTGCTGGCCGGCAGCGTCCCCCAACCCCCCACCCCCAGAAAACGTACCGAAATGTGTCCCCCCTCTTCATTCGAACTGCTGCTGGGCGCACTCGGCTGTGCTGTGCGTGGCGCCACAGCTCACGCGGCCACCGCAAAAGGCGGCAAATGCCAAGCCAGCTGCGCCACCCTGCGCTGCCTGGCCGCGTCCGCGCACGCCCGCCCCTCGCTGAAAGTGGGGGCACCAGCAGCCAAACTGGTCCACCTAGGTCAATCCTGCACTTTGACGGCCGCCGCGCCGCGCCAGTCGTGGAGAGGCGTGCCGAGCGCCCTGATTCTGTTGCAGCCCCACCCTGCTGCAGCCAGCCAGTTGGGCAGGAGACGGGCCCTCGAGGAATTCGGTGCACACGAGCTGTCCGGGCACCGCACTCGCCAGCAGCACGGGAGGGGTCGCCCCCCACACAGACGCCCCCACTGCTGATCCCCACGGCCCCACCCAGGTCGCGCTGCCGCTGCTGCCGCCTCGCCCCTTGCCGGCCCGCCACCGGTGCTGACGAGCTGTGCCTGCGCGCCCGCCCTCACTGCCTGCAGGGCCCCATGGCGCCGACCTCGCCCGCAATGGGCCCCTGTCCACCGCCGCCGCGGCCGCCAGCTGCTGCTGGCTGATGTGGCGGATGCTCGACCAAACGCTCGCTGCCATTTTGCTGAGCAGCGGCCAGCGCACCGCCCACTGCTGCCGCCACCGCCGCCACCGCTGCGCGGGGTTGGCTCTCAATTTTACACACACATGGTGACGTGCAGTTCATTTGCAGCACGCGCTGCGTTCCTTGCCTAGCAGTAATGTACAAAGTCCCGGCGCGGCCCACTAGTCGCACCTCACTAATCTATCCTGTCAGTGGCGACTGCTGGCGGGCCTCCGGCCGTTCAAGCGGGAGTGCGGCGCACGTTGGCGTGCATCTGTCTTCCAGCCGCAGTGTTGCTACGAGGAGGGGCAGGCCCCTGCGCCACAAGCGCAGCATGCGGGCGCGCCCCCGGCTGCCCGACCCCTGCTGCCCGCGAGCAAGCATTTAGATGAACAGCTTGATGCTATTGTTTCCCAAACAGCTGCTTAATGTACTCAACCGACAACATCCCATTGCTGCCAGGGCTGGAGGACAGCAGCGCCTGCGCCGCTGACGGGCCGCCGCCGCCACCACCCGCGGCGCCGCCCGCACCGCCGCCGCCGCCGCCGGCGGCGGCTGGGTTGTCTGTTATCATGGCGCGCGCCTGCCGGCGCGGAGGGCAGGGGTGTGGGGGTCAGGGGGTCCGAGGCGCTCGCCCAGAGGGGCCGGGCACAGCTGTTCGGCTCCACAGGGCGCGTGAACTTGGCAGCGCAGCAAGTTGCTAGAGCAGCCCGCCCGTCACGGCGTCCTCCAGCTCCCTGTTCTGCCGTTACCCCCTCACTGGCTGCTTGCCCGGCCGCGTGTGTGGTGCGCCGCGCCACCCTGTGTGGCCGCAGCTGCGCACACTGCGCGGCCGCCCTCGGCCCCCTCGCCCCGCGGCCGCCTGGAGCCCCACCCCGGCCGCCCATTCCCTCCGAGCCCTGCCCAGGGCGCCTCGCCCGCCCCCGCCCCCGAGGCCAGCTCCTCGGGGTCCTCCCCAAACCCAAGCCGCAACCCTGTTATTGATACCATCAGGATCGAAACCGCCTGCAAGAATGCCAGGATCGGACAGCAGCCCGCCCCCTCCCTATTTCCTATCCGATATAAAGAGGGGTATCTCTTGGCATAGAAAAGAGAGAACGACGCCCCGGGGCCCACCCAGTGCTCGACATCCTCCGGCCGAGACGGCGGCGGCGGCAGAAACGGGGCCCGCACCACACCCCAGCCCTCGTCCTCCTCCTCGTCGTCCTCGCCTGGGGGGGGGGGGCACACGCGCATGGGGGGCCGGCAGTTGGCGGAAAACGAGCGCGGCGCGCCGTGGCCCGCGTCAACTGCCGGCAGCCTGCTCCCTAAAGCCTGTCGAAAACTGCGAGAAGCTGCAGACACCGGCAGCCATGCGCTGCGCAAGATCAGGCGGCGGGGGCGGCCCCGCGCGCCGCCCGCTCACCGTCGAGCGCCCACGCGCCGCCCCACGGCCCCGGCGGCAGCGGCGGCGCCTCGGGCGCCTGCTCGACGCCGCCGCCGCCGCCACTGTCGTCCAGCAGCTGCATCAGGCTCGGCGACCCTGCCCAGCTGTCCCGCGCGCCGCCGCCCGCCCCCGCCGCCGCCCCCGCAACGGCAGCCCCGCCGGCGGCGGCCTGCC